ATATATTATATATATATATATGTATACATACATATATATATATATATATATATATATATATATATATATCTATATTATATATATATGTATATATATATATACAGATATCACATGCTTCCGATAGCGTCATTCGCCAAGTTCCTCTTTCGCTTCCCACCTATGTTGCGCGTAGTAGCGCGTCACTTCAATAATGTAAGATCCCACGGGTTCTCGTGGAAGCTGCGCCCCGTGCTCGAGCGGCGCCGCCACCTCCCTGGCCTCCTCGCCCTTCCCGAGAAACTCAGTCTGGGGCTTCCCGGAACATCGCAGGAGAGGGGGCTGCGAACGGCCTCGCGCTGAGTCGCGTCCTGGGGCCATTCTTGCCACTGTCACTTCCTGTTTTCTTGTCACAGAAGAGTCTTTGATTTCGTGGGCGAAAATGCGGGGGAAGCCGACGTCGCGCGGCGACGCGGCAATGCCGGGCCCAGAATCGCCCGCCACGGAGACCTCGGCAGGGCCATTCCGTCGACTTCTGTGGTCGATGTCATGAACATCGCGAATGCTACTGCTGCTGGGGTAGCAGCGCTGACCGCCGCGACGACGCGCGTGTTGGGCCCCCCCGCGAAGCCGTTTCGTAGGCGCGAAGTTAAGCGACGGAAAAGACGATGCTTTGCTCGGGTTGCGGCGCCGAGGCCCCAGAGCCCCTGCGCTTGAATTATTTCGACAGATGTGCCCGCGGGCGGCCCTGCCGAGGAAGTCCGAAGCCGTTCTCTCTGAAGCCCTCGGTGCGTCTGTCCTTTTTCGCTGTGTTGCAGCTCGGGTGGACCTTGCTATTTGCCTTCGTGCCAGGGCGCGGGGGGCCCGCGAGGCCGCCCGGCGAGCTGCCCCAGCCCCGCCGAGAACGTGCAATTGCAGCAATCCGGCCGCGACGCTCTGAATGAGGTCAAGAGGCCCCCATGGTAGAAGATCGTCTCTACTGCCCGCCTCCGGTAATTACCTCATTCCCGCTGCCTCTCCGACCGCCCCCCCCCCCCCCCCGCGCGTTCCGCGCTCTAATCGATGCTGCTCTGGAAGCAAGAATCCCGGGGGCAGCCCGCCACCTCCGACCTCGAATGGCTGCGTGAAGGCGCGGGCTTCAGAACTCGCCCAAAGGGAGAGGCCGCCCCTGCTTGGCCGCGGCGCACAAGGCCGCCGCGGGCGCTCTCGCGCAGAGAGCTGCCCGACAGGAGAAGGAAGGCGCTAAAACTCGTGCTTTGATCGGGGAGCTTGATGCCAGTCCCCCTGGTTTGTTCCCGCTTCTTCCGTTGCCCCTCCCGCGCCGCCCTGCGTTTGCTACGAATGTGGTTCCCCGATTGCCTCCGCGCAACAAGTCAGAGTTCGCCGATTGAAGCAGCATGCGCATGGCAAATGTCGCTCCTGAGTTTCCGGCGGCGCGCACCCAATGCAAATTCTGCGCGGCTCAATGTTGGGGCAGTTCTTGCCTGGTCAAGCACGCGCACCAAATTCTTATATAAATGCATGCACAGCTGGATTGCTCGCCCCCCCCCCCCCCCCGCCCCCCCCCCCCCCGCGCTCGGGAGAAGGCGGTCCATCCCATTGAAGAGCGCCGCGACGGGGGCGCCAACAGAGGCTCTGTTGTCGCCCCCCCCAAACCCGCGATCGACCTTCCCAGCGTTGACTCTGGCGGTTGCGGCGCTCCTGCCTCGATTTTCTTCCCCACCTGACCTCCCCAGAAAACTTTTGGCTGCGTTGTTAATTGCTTCTCTGGGTTTCGCCATGGCGACGACTTTCATAATCATTTCCAAGTGCTGACAGACGTTGAGCGCCGCCAGGCACTTCGCTGCAGCGTGCCCGTCGGCCCCGGCGCCCCTCGTCTTCTTCCCAGTCTCTTTCGGGCCATTTTTCTCCTATTGAAACATGGGGCCAGGCAGGAACTCGGCAATGATTTGCTTCGCACCATGCTAAGGGTCATGTGTCTTGGTTGGTCATTGCGCATTCCGCGCGTCATGTAATCCGAGGCGCGTGAACCCTGACGTGCCTTCCAGCTGGTACTTGCCCGAAATCAAAATCCTTGCACAGGCGCCAGAGGTTGACGCAGCCGACATCGACTAAGGTCAGTTCGGTTCCTGTTTGTGAAGGAACAAAGGTTTTTGCCATTAGCCACCTTGCCTTCGGAGGTTTTGGAACTTATGCTATAAACAACATGGCTTCTTGCCGTTAGTTGCCCTGCCCCCCGAAGGATCGTGGACCGTCGCCTTCGCAGGGCGAGATGTTGTTGGAACCGCGATCGCCTTTCTTTGCAGAGTCTAAGCAACGGCGGGGATTTCAACCTCCTCGGCGGCCAAGGCCTTTCCCGGGTCTATGTGTCGCACTCTTGTTGCTGCCTCTTTGTCCGAGGTTCTCTCTTCCTTTCTTGCTGTGCACGGGAAATGGGACGAGTGGTTCACACATGCTTGGGCCACGCCTTTTCTGTGCCTTTTGATCCCTGCGCGCAGTTCCACTCCAGCCGTGATTGCATGGT